CAGCAGAGCCGGGGTACACACTGAATGGGAAGGTCAGGCCTTTCTTCTCCAGGAGCTGCATGGTGTCGTCCCCGCACAGGCTCGTGAGCTCCATGAAGGGCGGCGAGCAGATCCTGTCGTCTGCGGACAGAGGAAAGGCCGTCAGCACGCTCCCGGACAGACGCACCTCCCGGGGGCGACCTCCATACCCCTGCTGCCCCGATCTGACGCCCCAAACTCCAGGCATGTGTGAACACACACACACACAGCATACTTTCACGTTACACCTCCTAATAACATTCCTGTAACTACAAAGCCAACATATAACTGTACAACCTGAAGACCAAAGAAGAGTAAAAGCCACACACCTTCCCCACCTCCTCAGCCTTAACCTGGGCGCGTGGACGTTAACACTCAGAGCTTTACAACAGGACAGTCGCGTAACCTGATTTTTACTCCAGACACAGGAGTGTTTTTCGGGCTCATTAGAGACTTTTCCCCACCACATGCGGCATCAGCTTAACAGTGATCGCAGGATCGAGGCTGCGCACTGAGCTCTCAGCGCATGTCTCCCACTGTAAGCTGTGCATCACCTCAAGTCTGCAAAGTAACCCGGGGAGGACACCAGGGCCGGGAGGTTAAAGGGCGTGCCCGCGGCTGCACAGCCTCACCACCTAACCAAAGGTGGAAGCCAAAACAGCTCCGACCCATGCAGTGAGTCTCACCTGTTCGTCTTGCTTCCTCACTCCCCTCAAGCACCCCACTCCCCTCTCCAGCCCCCGCCCAGCCCTGCCCCCGTCCCAGGCCTTCCTTCTCACCTGGACACCTGGGCTCGTCTTGGGGGAAGCCAGTCCTGAGCAGGGCAGGGGCTGAGAGGAAGCCATGACCCTCGGCCTGACCCCTCCCCAGACTGCGGACCGCACACTGATGTTTACTGCTGGGCCACTTTCTGGCTACTTGCAGCCAAAATCATCCTGACATGTCCGTGAAATCACAATTAGAAACGACTACTGTTCCTATTTTAGTTTCAACAACCGTTCGCAACAAAAGAACGTGTTGGGACTCAACTAACCCTTAGGAGCTAGAGATACAGTGATGAACACAGGTGCCCACCCGCGTGGAGCTCACAGACAATGAACGAGACGGACTCACTGACGGGTAAAATGGACAGCGAGACGGCACTGGCAGGGAACACAGAGCACGAAACAGGGCGCGGGGTGTGGGGCAGTGCGTCGCTGAGCAGACACAGAGGATGAGGGAATGGGCCTGCGTGGGGGGCAGGCACACCCCCAGCAGAGGGACAGCTGGCCCGCCCGCGTGGAGCTCACAGACGATGAACGAGACGGACTCACTGACGGGTAAAATGGACAGCGAGACGGCACTGGCAGGGAACACAAAGCACGAAACAGGGCGCGGGGTGTGGGGCAGTGCGTCGCTGAGCAGACACAGAGGATGAGGGAATGGGCCTGCGTGGGGGGCAGGCACACCCCCAGCAGAGGGACAGCTGACGCAAAGGCCCTGCTGACGGACATGCTGTTGTCTGATGCAGAGATTGGACAAGCCGCGACGAGGACGGTCACGTCAGTCAGACCGGGGACCGAGGGCACCGGGCTGAGTGGGAGGGCACCGGGCTGAGTGGGAGGGCACCGGGCTGAGTGGGAGGGCACCGGGCTGAGTGGGAGGGCACCGGGCTGAGTGGGAGGGCACCGGGCTGAGTGGGAGGGCACCGGGCTGAGTGGGAGGGCACCGGGCTGAGTGGGAGGGCACCGGGCTGAGTGGGAGGGCACCGGGCTGAGTGGGAGGGCACCGGGCTGAGTGGAGGGCACCGGGCTGAGTAGGAGGGCACAGGGCTGAGTGGAGGGCACCTGGCTGAGTAGGAGGGCACGGGGCTGAGTGGGAGGGCACCGGGCTGAGTGGGAGGGCACCGGGCTGAGTGGGAGGGCACCGGGCTGAGTGGGAGGGCACCGGGCTGAGTGGGAGGGCACCGGGCTGAGTGGGAGGGCACCGGGCTGAGTGGGAGGGCACCGGGCTGAGTGGGAGGGCACCGGGCTGAGTGGGAGGGCACCGGGCTGAGTGGGAGGGCACCGGGCTGAGTGGGAGGGCACCGGGCTGAGTGGAGGGCACCGGGCTGAGTAGGAGGGCACAGGGCTGAGTGGAGGGCACCTGGCTGAGTAGGAGGGCACGGGGCTGAGTGGGAGGGCACCGGGCTGAGTGGGAGGGCACCGGGCTGAGTGGGAGGGCACCGGGCTGAGAGGGCTGGTGAAGGAACGAGCGAAGCCAGCACGTTGGGGGCAGGAGACACGCCGGCCCGGCCCACGTGAGGAACTGTGGCAGCGGAGACTTTTCCAGCTCAACCCTGGGAAACTCGACGGACGCCAGCAGCTCCCGGCCCCAAATAGCGGCAGAAGAGCCGGCGCGCTGGGAGCCCGGAGCTATTTCTGGTTTCCCGAAAAAGGCCGATGCGCTTATTTCTCTGCCGCCTTTATTTCTGGATGGGAGCGGGAAAGAGGCTTTTTTTGGTGAGAAGGTGGGCTGTGTTCTGTCAAGAGCTGAAACTTCAGCCCCTGGGAAACTGAAACACACCAGAGGAGGCGAAGCTGGAGGCCCTGGAGATGGGCAAGCTCCAACCGCGTGCACGAGCCCAGAGGGGAAGAGGACAGTTCAAGGTCACACGCAAGCTGCTGGCAGGCCCAGCGAGGGAACCAGGTGTCCTGAACACACACCACTGCCCTGTACACGCTGCCAGTGGCCGCACTCACCCAGCTGCTGCAGGACTAGCAAGAAGCCACAGGCCAAGGACCAACCAGTGGATCCCGAGGACAGCGGGGTGGGGAGGGCAGATGGCGCTGGGAAGTGTCGCTCTGAAGCCCGACTCTGAACCTGGGCTCACTACTCACTAGCTGTGAGCTTCCGAAATGACTGAACTCGCAGGGCCTTGCTCTCCCGTCTGTAACCAGGAGCCAGGCCTCCCTGGTACCTAACAGGCACCCAGCAGGCAGGCACGGTTTCTGGTACCACGCTGGGCACGGCCAGCTGGGGTCACCCACAGGGGATCCTGGGTCGTGGCCACCGGTCCGTGTTCAGCATCCTGGGGTGTGTCGCTGCCGACCTCCCCCTCACTGACCTTCTCCCTGTGCCCAGCACGGTGCCGGCAGGGCAGGCTCTGCCTGTGGCTGTGAAGGGAGCCTCGGCGGGGTACCCGACCCACATGCCAGACCTGGCCTGCCGAACACCCTCACGCCCCCCCAGGCCTGCCGAACACCCTCACGCCCCCCCA